TCAACCACTTTTCTGGAAACGTGAGTCTGCAAACCATTTCTCCTCTTCAAGTTCGAGAATCAATTTTCCCACTGAACCTAAACTAACCGCAGTGTCTTCCCCTCACCTTTCAGTTCCGGTTGAGCAGTGTTCAGAGCAACACTGGAATCTCCACAAGCTTCTCAATAAACCTGTTAAACTTTTTCCCTGGTCTCTCTGTTTTGGTTTCTCTGCATGTGGGTCCGAGCTCTTGATAAAATCATGACACAGTCGGCACTTTATTTTATCTTTCCAAAGAGAGAACAGTTCATCATAAGGCCCTTATTGCTTTGTAATCAGCCCTGTTCTGTTCTGATCTGGACTGCATTCGTTCTCCTTACTTACAATAATGGAAAGTATTCAGATTCAAATCAAATTATAGACACTTTGGTTAAACACTAATATGTTATAAATAAAACCTGAGAAAGAATCTTGCTTTTTATGGGAAGAAGTATGTCTTGTTTATAAATACTCACTCAGGCATTGTGTGGCCTTGCAGGTGATACAGACTGAGAGAAAAACTTTTTTAGTGAGTAGATAGCATAAATCATTATATGAAATAAGAGAAATTTCAATGTTCCGACCACAACTGTCTCCCACCGAGCTTTAATGCAGCAAATAAAATGAACGAATGGACTTTTGTTCCTGGTTGTGCCTGCTGCTAGCATGTTCTTGTGCCCTTATTCTTTCATTTTCAACTTTAACTTCCCCCTCTGGCATTTAGGAACAATCCAAAGAAAAGCCGCAGGGTTCAAAGCTTGGGAAATAAGTAGCGGCTTATAGTCAGGAAAATATTTGAGGCACAACAAAACACAAACTGGTTATAATGGAATGATTAAAAAAAAGGGCAAAAGAGGTAAATCCTGACATGAAATGAACTCAGATGAAGTGACAAGTAAAGAAAAAGGAGATTATAAACAACAAGGGTTTGAAGTATAGACATGTTAAAATCTGGAAAGACAGGAGGAAAGCAAATGATTGATAAAAAAAAAAAAGTGAAAGATAATATAACCGAAAATGTGTTTCTTTCATTGTTTATCAGTATTATTCAGACTTACACTTCTTCAGACCAGGTTTTAACCACTGCTTGCCAATATGGTCCACTCTGAAAGGTTAAAAAAAACACAGAAACAAGTGAATAAATACATTCTCTATGTATCTACTGGACTTTTAGTGTTAAAGGTTTTCTGTCACACAAATATAAACTTTTACATTTACGTTATATTTATGTTACTAATTAGAAACATAACTGTGACATTTATGACACCAGTACAATATGGTACTGGTGTTTACCAGTACCATATTGTACTGGAACCAGGACAATTGTCACAGGATCCAAACCTCCTCTCCAGCTCTTTCCAACAACGGCCAAACAAGCCTGAAGGCAGAATTCTGACACCTTCCTTCCATATGAAATAAACAGCAGTTTTGGTCTTCTGTTGAACCTTGTATATAAATCTTCTAATCTTTAACTGGTCTGGTCTGGTCTGTCTTTCCCTGCATTACTTTTACTTTTATATTTTAAGNTAATCTTTAACTGGTCTGGTCTGGTCTGTCTTTCCCTGCATTACTTTTACTTTTATATTTTAAGTAGTTTTAAAAATAGAACTTTTACAGTTTTACTTGAGTATAAAAAGCTTAAGTTTATACTCTAACTTCAACAAATAATTTTTAAACTGTAAGATTTATACTTCTACCTGAATAATAAACAATACCTTTGACACCTCTGATACATATGCATTCTTTTATCGAGAACATTTTACTACTAACAGGGCGACTATTTTACGACTTTTTACAATTATTTGTTAGGTTTCTGTTTCTGTTATGTTTTTCTTTTGAGCATTCAGTCTTACTTTAATCCTTGTTTACTAGTGTTTAGTTTTCTTTTCTGCATGTTTTATAGTCCTAGTTATTTGATTATCATTTTGTTGTTTTTTCCAGTCTTCCAGGTTTCTATTTGTTGCTCTTTGCTGCCCTCTTGTGTTCTCCTTCTTCCCTAGCTCTTTCCCTCTTGTTCTTTGCACACCTGCTCCCAGTTTCCTCATTAGCCACCTCTTTGTCTCAGTCTCCTTTAAAAAGCCCTCTCTGTTCAGTTCCCCTTTGCTGGGGACTTCTGGTTTCATGTTTGTTTGGACTTTGTTTTCCTTTTGGACTTTTGGATAACCAGCCTCTGATTTCTGTTTAGTCATTATTAAATTCACAACAGATTCACCTCTGTCTCTCAGCCTCTGCTTTTGGGTCAACACTCAATAATCAAATCCTGACATTATTAGGGCCAGGCTAGAGATTTTTTTTCTTCTATATCAAAGATAAAGTTGTAAAATTAAGAGAATAAAGTCTTAAAATTACGAGAATAAAGTCGTAATATTACGAGAAAAAAGTCACAAGAATATCCATTAAAATAAGAAGTATTAAGCCTTAATATTAAGAGAATAAAGTCCCAAAATTACAAGAAAAAAGTTGTATTTTGTGACAACTTCTACAAGAAGCACTTTCTTTCCTACAATGAGGAATGTGGAGCATCATGTGAAGTTATACTTTAGCATCGGTTTTACAAATAAGCAAATATTTTGGCACCAGCATCAAACTGGGCAGGATGTCAAAGTGGACTCAGGTTGCTGATTGGTGGAGCTGGTCGGCTGTCATCCGCTGGGCGGAGCTCCGAGCTTTCTTTCTGAAACCGGTTGTAGTTTGATGACTTTGTTCTCATAATGTTACGACTTTATTTTAGTAATATTAGAACTTTTTTCTCGTAATGTTACGACTTTGTTCTCAAAATAAATGTCAAGAATCCAGTTTGTGTGGGTTGTGTGTTTGTGTTTTCTCCCTCCACCTCCAGGTGGCGCCCGGTTCTCATTGGCCCTTCCACACACCTGCGGACGGTTGCCTCATTATCTGAGGACTCTTAAGCTGCTGACTGCCACTACCTCGACGCCAGAGTGTTTGCCAGTTTTGGGTACTCTAGCCAAGCTGAGTTTTGCTGAGTCAAACAGAGTTTTTGTCTCCCTGAGTCCTAATCTTGTTGTTTTTGTCTTTGCCTCTCAGCAGGAAGTCATCCTGCAAACTGGATGTTTGGGCCTTCTTCCCCTGGAAGGATCGTCTTGAGCGTCATACTGAGCAGGGGATTCATCTCCACAAGAACCGTTCAAGTACCACAGGAAATCTAAGTGGCAATCAGCTCCACCGCTCCTCAAGGAACCAACTTAACCTGAGTAAACCCTGTCCGCCCTCCAGCGAGTCAACCAATTTCTGGAACAACCCACACCGACTGGATTCTTGGAAAGACACAATTTCTAGAAACGTGAGTCCAGTTGCGGTTTCTGCTTTGCAAATCGTTGCTCAAATTTCCCAACAAGCCTGAACTAAACACTGAACTTCCCCTCCCACTTTCTAGTGCCGGTTCACCAGCGTTCAGAGTAACACTGGACCCATCTCGAATTGTATTCAATAAAACCTTGTAAACCTTCCCCTGGTTTCTCTGAGTGGTTTCCTGCATGTGGGTCAGATTGCTGAAAAAGATCACGACAATAAAAACATTCTAAAAATCTCTAACCTGGCCCTAATACTCCATCGTGCTATTTAAAATAAATCTGGAAACAGAAAATGATTCTAACCGCATACCTGAGGATTTCTAGTTTGCAGTGTGGATCTTCCACCCTAGAAGACAGAAGCATCACTCCTGAATCCCCTGGGTGATTGTAGCTCAGGTCCAGCTCTTTCAGGTGGAACGGGTTAGAGCTCAGAGCTTTGGCGAGAGATGCACAGCCTTCCTCTGTGATCAGGCAACCTGTAAGGCTGAGGGTTGTATATGGAAAAGAGATTTGAATTTATCTGAAAATTCACTCCACCCAAAGGTTTGACATAAACCATTTGTATTCTAACCTAAGGCTCTCCAGTTTACAGTTGGGACTTTCCAATCCAGCTGAAAGTTTTTTTACTCCTGAGTCCTGCAGCTTGTTGTTACTCAGATCCAGTTCTCTCAGGCTGGAAGACTGACAGCTGAGAACTGAAGACAGAGCTTCGCAGCTTCTGACAGAGAGGTTACAGCCACTCAGTCTGGGGGAAAGAAAAACAAAGAAAATACAACTAAAAGCTGTTTGTAATATAAGAGATGAAATATCTGAAATGTTCTCTCTACCTACAGGGCTCTGGTCGAGGCTTTGACCACTGGAAGCAGTTTTAGAAGAGTTTCTTCTTCAGCAGAATATTTCTTTAGGTCAAACAGAGCCAAGTCTTCGTCGGAAGTCAATAAGATAAAGACCAGAGCCGACCACTGAGCCGTAGAGAGTTTACCCGTGGAGAGGCTTCCTGATCTCAGGTACTGTTGGATCTCCTCCACAAGAGAACGGTCATTCATCTCATTCAGACAGTGGAACAGATTGATGCTTTTCTCCACAGAAATATCACTAACGATTTTCTTCTTGATGTACTGGATTGTGTCTTGGTTGCTTTGTGAGATGCTCGGTTTATGTGCCTGCAAGCCGAGTAGGAGGTTTTGATTTTCTGGCTGAGAAAGTCCTAACAGAAAGCGAAGGAACATGTCATGGTGTCCTGCGGCAGATTGTAAGGCTTTGTCGATAGCATGCTGGTGAAGTTGGATTGCTGCAGCTCTGCGTTCTCCTCTTTCTGATGTATTTTGTTTTTCCATCATCGGATTAAGTCCAGAGTTAACGAAGGTCAGGTGGACATAAAGAGCAGCCAGGAACTCCTGAACGGTCAGATGGATGAAGCAGAAGACCTTGCTCTGGTACAGTCCTTTCTCCTCTTTAAAGATTTCCGTGAACACTCCAGAGTACAATGAGGCTTCTGTGATATCGATGCCACAATCCCTCAGGTCAGCTTCGTAGAAAATCAGGTTTCCTTTCTGCAGTTGATCAAAAGCCAGTTTGCCCAGAGACTCGATCATTGTCTTACTCTCTGGTCCCCAATGTGGATCCGTTTCTACGCCTTTATCATACTTGACCTTCTTAATCTTGGTCTGAACCACCAGGAAGTGGATGTACATCTCGGTCAAAGTCTTGGGCAGCTCTGCTTCTTGTCTTACCTTTAGCACATCCTCTAAGACTGTAGCATTGATCCAGCAGAAAACTGGGATGTAGCACATGATGTGAAGGCTACGTGAGGATTTGATGTGGGAGACGATCAGGTTGGCTTTCCTCTTATCTTTAAACCTCTTTCTAAAGTACTCCTCCTTTTGAGAATCTGAGAATCCTCTAACTTCTGTCACCAAATCCACATTCTGAGGAGGTATCTGATTGGCCGCTGAAGGTCTTGATGTTATCCAGAGTAGAGCGGATGGAAGCAGCTTCCCCCTGATAAGGTTTAACAGCAGAACGTCCACTGAAGCGGACTCCGTAACATCCGTCATGATATCCTGGCTGTGAAAGTCCAGAGGAAATCGACTCTCATCCAGACCATCAAAGATCAACAGAACCTTAAATTGATCCAAATTGCTGATGTCTTTGATTTCTGGGAAGAAGTGATGAATAAGTTTCACCAAACTTATTTTTTTGTCTTTTAGCAGATTGAGTTCTCTGAAGGTAAATGGGAAAGTAAAGTGAATATCCTGATTTGCTTTGTCTTCAGCCCAGTCCAGAGTGAACTTCTGTGTTAGGAAGGTCTTCCCAATGCCTGCGACTCCTTTGGTGAGAACTGTTCTGATTGGTTGAGCTTTTTCATGACGAGGCTTAAAGATGTCCTCCTTTCTGATCGTTTCAGGGTAGTCTAGTTTTCTGGAGGTTGTTTCGATCTGTCTGACCTCGTGTTCTTCATTAACCTCCCCAGTTCCTCCCTCTGTAATGTGGAGCTCTGTGTAGATCTGGTTTAATAAGGTCGGGTTTCCTCCTTTAGCAATTCCTTCAAAGACACACTGGAATCTCTTCTTTAGGTTCGATTTGTGTTTTTTCTGATACTCTGTTGCAGAAGCTCCTGTAAAAAGTCAAAAAATAAGATGATTGAGAGAAGAAGATTTTCCTTTAACCTAAACAAAAACCTGGAACAAGTACAGCTATTCTTCTTNTAAACAAAAACCTGGAACAAGTACAGCTATTCTTCTTAAAAGGTGAGTATTTTAGGAAATCAAGACTATTTCCAGGATATTAATTTCAAAGATTTGTTGGGATCTGGAGGTCTGTCCACTTTCTCCACCAGAGGGCGTACGAGATCTCCTGGAGCCGGAGCTGATTGCAACCACCTGTCGCTCATCTGCTCATCAGGAGATCCGTATTTAAGGAGGCAGAGGACGTCTCTCCAGGGCCAGAGTGTTTGCCAGTAACGGTTAGCAAGCCTGAGCCAACCAGCCTGTCTGAACCTCTGGCTCCCTGATAACCTGAACCCGAAACTGATCTGTTCTCTCTTCTCTGCTTCCTAGAGTGAACCTGCCTGAAACCTGAAACCCTGAAGAGTTTCTCTGCCGGTGATCTGCCTGTCCATTCTCTGAAGAATTATTCCTGTCAAAGTTCTGCCTACCCGCTCTCAGAAGATTCTGGAAGGAAACTCAGATCTGTTATCTGCCAACACTCAAATTAAGCTCTGCCTCTGCCTAGCCCTCAGCCTGCCGACAGCCTCTGGACCCTCTTGGTTCCCCCCCTCTGCCGCTCAGCTCAACTCCAGAACAGGTACAGCCTTGCTCACTCTCAACCTACAAATTACCTG